AAAAAAAAAAAAAAAAAAAAAAAAAAAAAAAAAAAAAAAAAAAAACAAGGAAAATGACACCAAAACACAGATGAAAATGGGCAATGAATATCAAGGAATGTTTCCATGATTCAGTTGTCATCTCTTGAAAACAGCACCATGGATGGCAAAGATGTAAAGTAGCTGTGTAGCAGAGAGAATTATGAAGAACGCCTCCATTGTTATCTGCAAAGAAAAAATGAATTCAAATGCAAATTCAATGGAATTCTTTTAGATTGTGAGAAGAAATCGGAGATGGGTATGAACCAAATTTAATTTTCTCACCAGTCTTGTGTTTCTGTAATCGAGAGCAATCTCTTTGCAAGCAAAGCTGCATAAACAAATATGAGAACCTCAGTGTCCAGTTTTAAAGATTCTAAGTTATTCATGGTTTGTCATATGTTTGAGACATACCCCATGGCAAGGATAGTGAGGGACCAAGCAAAAACAGCAGCAGAGGATGCTGCGCCTAAGCTTTCAGCACTCCATAACCGAATATGGTTTAGTCCTGAGATTGCAGAGGCAGCTCCAGCCACGGCAGCCAACAAAGCGAATGTCACAAAGAAACCAGTGGCTGCGTTCCCCATGGGGAAGTAAATTGGTGAGAAATGCGCCGGTAGTCGTAAGCCAGGGCCTGCATGATTCTCACAACAGTAACATCAGGCTAGCTGCAACATAAAAAAAGAAAGAAGAAACAAGATGGATTTTACCAATGACGAAGCCATGATCGATGGCTGTGTTCATGGCCCAGCCACCGATGCCCAAAATGACTGCATACATGCAGAAGTTAAGCAGCAGAAGCAGAGTGGCAAGGGGTTTCATTTGTGCGGCTGATTATTGGAAGAGGGAAGGACAAAAAAGGATGAGGAGTTTGGTAAGAATCAAGACACAAAAGTTGGGGGATTAATGGAGGTGAGATGGTTATATAAATAAAAGGGGATATGGAAAAGGGAAGGTTCAGGAGGTTCTTTGCTTGCTAAGGCTGCAGTGTCTAAAGGAGGGATATGGGTCTTTGGAGTTGTAAAGGGAATGACAATGCTTCATGTTCAAGGCAAAGAAAGCATATGCAAAATTCTTGCTTTGCCAACATTTGTAAGTTTGGTCTTCTAAATGGTGGATTCTGCTGGGGATCGGGGTAGGAAAGGTAATATCCAATTATCCACATCCAGCCTACAGTTCTGTTTTAGGACATTTAAATTGAAATCTTCTGGAAACAACACATTAGTTGTAATTATTTAGTCTATGTAGCCTTAATGTGAAGCAATTAAATTCTTTGACCGATGAAAAGTGTCCTAAAGTCAGTAGTTTGGCTTCGGATCCCTTCTGTTCTTTCATTCTTTTATCGGACCAAATTTACGTAGAATCAAGTTCAACTGTGAAATCAATAGGGTCAAGAAAAGAGACAATTGAGTTGACATTTATGGTAAACTATTCCATTTGCAATCAGGAAATAAAAACAAAACTAGCTCGAGAACCAAACCAAGATGGGAGGGAACAGTTTTTCATTAAATTTTGACATAAAATTGTTGATTCTAATTGAAATTACAATGTCCTACATTATATAACACAAACTCGTTCAACAAGTTGGTCAATTAAGTACAATTATATACAAACGAACTACACTATAAACAATTGTATTAAAATTTGAAAATAGAGCCTGTGGAGTGCGCCAAACCAAGCAATGTGTTTCGTTACTCAGATAGGATAATTTAACACCACAAAGTCTATGGTTCCCAAATATAAGGTTAATGTTGCAATTGTAAGCTTCAGAACTCAATAAATATCAAAATCTCTTGAACCAAAAATATATATTAACCAAATCTTCACTACAAAACACGACGAGAGCAGCAAAGCAATAAAGGATGTAAATTGCTTATTCATCCTCTTGGCTGCGTAACCTAGCGAGCTTGTTGGTGACTACCACATCAAGTTGAGCTGCCCTCTCAACAATCTCTTTCCTCTTCTTTGTGGAAACATCGTGGGCAATCTCGGCACAGTAGGTCCTATAGGTAAAAGAACACAAAAGCTTGAGATAAATGGCAACATATACAAACAATTTTAGTCCCACATTGGAAGTTTCTAAATACCTATTGTGCATCATCAAGATTTCGAGCTCCTTGACATTGTGAACAACGAACTTCTTAAACCCATTAGGCAAGTAGTGGCGGGTCTTTTTGTCGGTGCCATAACCAATATTTGGCATCAACGTACATCCTTTGAACTTTCTTCGAACTCTGGAATCAATACCCTTTGGCCTTCTCCAGCTTTCCTATTGGATGAACAAAAGAGATTAGAAAAAGCCGAATTGTTCGCCAACAATAGATGAAAGACGAAGGTAGATAAACAACAGAACTGTACACAGGGTTTCAGTAACAGAAAGCTTATACGTTTTTAAGCAAACTGTGTCGCAAAGACCTGAATATAATTCATCTTCGCCCTAAAAACGAGATGTCCAGCCATTTAAATTAAAGACTGGACATTAGATACCATGGGCGGCTTCATATATATAGCCAAAGAGAACATTAAATGATCAAAGAAAATAAAAACTAAAATGCAACATCATTCAAAAGATGATGAAACTAATAAAAGAATGGAACATACAACGAAGATCAGATGGTAGTGCATGAAAATATTCATCATTCAAGTACAGAAATGATGGGTTATCATCATCACGCCTAGTTGCATGTCTTCCGGGAAAACTACGTGCTACAAAACTAATTATAAATAACGCTTTATCACTAATAAAAGAATGGAAAATACAACAAAGATCAGATGGTAGTGCATGAGATTATCATCATTCAAGTGCAGAAATGATGGGTTATCATCATCACGCCTTGTTGCATCTCTAGGGGAAAATAAGTGCCAAGTACACAAGTCAGCATGGTTGTTAGTCTATCATCAGATCCATCCAACGACACCAAACCTCAACCAATATAATTCAAAAATAAAAACCGAAAACCAAGTAATAGTATCTTCTAAACTCAAATCAGAATAAATGTGCTGTTAACAACAAGAATCAGATACTCTGTCAGTCACCACCGTGCACATCAATAGATGCAACTAAGACTGGGGCGACAATACATATCATCATCTTCCTTATTGCACATTCAATAGTATAAACAAATCAGATACTCTGTCAGTCACCATCGTGCATCAATAGATGCAACTAAGACTGGGGCGACAATACATATCATCATCTTCCTTATTTCACATTCTATGGTAAAGACAAATAGATGGGACGAAAAGCCAAAGAAAATTAAAATACCTTGACGGAGATCTTTCGATCACTTTGAGGCCTCTTGAACTTCTGGGTCCTCTTCTTCACGATCTTCTTCGACAGCAAAGGCACCGCCATTTCTGCTTATACCTACAGATTCACAACAAGTACTCATTAATCAGCTCAAATGAACCAAATCCCATCAAAACTAAAAACAAACTGGATTAACCAGTGCGATTGATAAACACTCGATCTACAACATGAAATCTACCAACCAAGGGAAAAGGAAAAGAGTTTAAGTAGGAGAATAGCGAAAGAAATCCTGCGGCAGAATGGAGAGAAGAGCTTACAGTTACTAGGGTTTCCCTTTGGCCGTCCCCACCTTCGACGATATATCTATAAAGCTCTGAATGGTTTATATAGAGAATGCCCGTCGATTAGGGTTTCATTTCTTCGGCTGTGAAGAGCTTGGGCCCTGTTCAGCAGCTCGATTTAGTAATCTAGGCCCATTATTCTAACAGAAGGCCCAACTTTCACAAAAACCCTGTTTGTGCTGCCATTTATCCATATTGTCTCTGTAATCAACTATTTTACAAGAAGTACCTATCCTCCACTATTTTATTTGAGTCTCCAACCAATTTTTCCTCTTAACTAGGAACATTAAAATTTAATGTTTTTTTTTTATTATTATAAATTCAAGTCTTTACCCTTTTATTCCGTTCCGGACCTAGATTTTTCGTTGAGACTGATGGGTAAATGATCCGATGGAGGAACGTTCTTGACATATGTAAGAATTATGAGATCAAATGACAATTTTATGAACATAAACTTAACTCATATGAAATAAGTACTCTCGACCAAGGTCGAGAGTTTTAATCCCTTCACTCTTGTATTGTCACAATGTATGGCTATCGGCTAAAAATAACTTATCGCCCTTACAATTCCTTAGCCGGGTTTTTAAACCTTAAAAGGGAAAGCTCATAAAGAAAACTCCAAAGAGGACAATATCTTGCGGTGGGTTTGAGCTGTTACAATTTTCGTTCACAAGCTTCCGTGCTTTCTTATTTCTTACCCCTTTCTACTCATGTGTTCGCGTGTTGCTTTAAAATAGGAGAAATTTATAATAGAGAAATTAAGAGAAATAAATATAACTTTATCAATTATAAGTTCTCCATTATTCAAGTTTTTTACATTTCAACACTGAGTAACATACAATATAGCTCAACCTGTATACGAGTAAGAAGAGGAGGAGAAAGTACTTGAAAATATATTAAATTATACCGAATACTCTAAACTCTGAAAGGTAGATTGTTTACAATTTCATAACAATGTTAGTACCATTGATTTCAACTCCTAATTTACTCACTTCATTTTTATACCTTATAGCTGACATGTCACTAATTTTTTTTTTTTTTTTTTTTTAATTTTATTTTACAAATTTCAAAATTTTAAGGATAAAAATGAAACTTAAAAACCTATGGCCATAATCAAAACTCATCACAAATTCAAAAGAACAATGATCTATTTAACAATTTCCATCATGCATATTTCATCAAAAGAACACTCATGTAGCCAACTAAAAATTGAAGAACAGAGCTGGTATGAGTTAGGAGAGGAGGGACTAACGTCAACCCACTCCTTGTCAACCTTCTCAACGTGCGCATTTGATTTGGGGATGCCATAGAACTGAGGCTTATCCATTTGCTTCATCATTTTCTTCATGAAGTTCATTGAGAATATCAACTCAAAGCTTTTCTCAAAGCCACTGCTACCTTTTTGAAGCTTCACCCCGATATTAGCACTGCACGATGCAATATACCCAAGAAGTAGAGCGTTGGTGCCTGCACTTCTATGCCTGCTGCTGCAAATCTGTAAGGAGGTACATTGTCAAATCAATGGCTAAGGAACTTGAATGATAAACCGTCGCAAGAAAACGTCATTGAATGCCGAACCTCGACATACTCCACGCCAATTTCAGCAAGATTGTCCAGAACCTTGGATGATGAGAGCAAGTTTATGACTCCTCCAGAACCAACTGGGGATTGTAGAATTTCCCAGGGTGATTTCATCAAAATCTTGTATTTGTTTTGTTCGTCTACCACATTGCTAACAACTGGAAGTCTCTGTTCTTCCAAAAACCAGATCTGGAAAATTGTTTCCAAGTTATTAAGAAAGTATTGTAGACTCCATAATGCTTGCTATAGCTTAAAACACTCCCATAATAGACACTGCTCTTTAGTAAATCTCATTGAATAATCACAGACGCTAACGCAAGGGGAAGGTGTTTGATGACTCCATTAAGCATAATTAAGAACCTTGCTCGCAATAGAAGCGTAAATGCCATGAAATAATAGAAATAGAAAGCTTTTCAATACAAATTACCGCCATGAAATAATATGAAAGGAAATGTCTGCTCACCAACCTTTCCAGAATCGAAGGAAAAGTAATCATTGTCCATAAAAAGCTTTTCAATTGAATGAATTCTGGAAGCTGAGCACACCAAAATCAGAGGCACGTATGGGCGGTCTTCAATCTGTGCAGTACACATCTTTAATTCAGGAAATGTTCTCAAAGATCCATGCTCATTAAGATTTCAATGTTTATCTTGGTATAGTTCAATGAAAATCCAAGTAATACTTTTCCTACATTAGTGCATCAAACGCCTAAAAGCTAATGCAACCAACCTATATTGTCATTTCAAAAAGTAGATTCGAAACTGAAAATTAAAATCTGATCTTAGCAAACCACAAGCAAGAACCATTTTTTTAAGCATAACTAATGCACATTGAATCACAGTGAACAAACTTCTTATTGAATTCTTATAATAATCATGGGCCAGAAAAAAAAGTACGACCTTTGCAAACCTCCTATCATCACCAAGTAGATCAGGAAGGGAAGAAGATGTTGGATGCTCAGCATTATCACAAACAATATCAAGGTCAGCGTACCATCCCTCATCATTAACAACTAAAACAACGGCAGTTTTTCCAGAAGATATGAGATTGAGTCCCTTCTTCTGCAAACTAGTATGTTTACCAAGTTCCTCTTCATTTGCACCAGAAGTGACACATTTATCTGATACCTTCAAAGTATTTTGTATTTTCTCCAATTCAAAAGCGTTGAATAACTCGTTAACATTCAATCTGGTTCAAGGATTCAATTGAGAATACAAGGGTCAGTGCATTGGAAAGTAGACAAATTAGACACAGACATCGTTAAATATCTTTTGGTCTTTAAACTTCATAAAACCCATTGAAAGGGAATTTTAAATGAAGAGGATGTTCCTGAATTTTAGCTAATCATATCAATATCCTTCAGAAAATAAATGAAAAGAAAACGAATATTTGCAATGTTTAAGATCCTGATCGTATGACCGGGTTGGCAAATTTAGAATTAAATAAAAACCCAATGACTTAGCACCTGGCCCAGCAATTGTTCATGTACAGATTCCAAAAGATTCTGAAGGAATAAACTACCACTTAATTATCACTTGAATTGAATTTAATCATGATACGCAGAAAACAATATGTATGGAAGGATAGAGACAAACTATATCTAGTTCAAAATTAAACTACACCTTTTTGGAGAAACAAAATTTATAAAAAGATAGAGCACAAACAACGTCTGATTAAAAATCAAACTATACCTTCTTGTAGGAATCTCAATATCTTGTAAAGCTTTTTGAAGCAACTTAGAATTGACACCAACTATCTGTTCGGCAAGTAACCTTCCCTGCATTTTTTCTCCAAATTTGAAACCATTGAACACGTGTTTCTGCTCCATTTCAGACAGTTTCTTTTTTGCAGCTATGAGACTGTTTTGGAATTTTTTCCTTTCTTTCCATTCCTACAATGAATGATGTCGGTTACCAGAATAAAAATCGAGATAAGGAAAAAGAACCTAAATCTGCAAGCAAAAGATGGTTGAAAAGGGGGAAAAAAGTAGCAGAATTCAAAATTACAATAAAAACATGTATAAAGAAGCAATTATGAAAGTTCAAACGTCTGAATAATATCAAGAAATTTTTTCAGTGCATTAATCACTAAAAATAAGTTGGCATCTTAACTTAATTTATTTATAAGGAAGGAAGAGAGCGAAAAGAAAAAATATCTCACAAGTTGGCGTCGTTCTTTCTTTGATCTCTTGTTAGAATTCAAATTTAATTCCAAAAGACCTTTTGGAGGGGTAATTTTCATTTCTCGTCTTTCAAGATCAACAACAGGAACAATTGCTTTGACAAAAGGTATCCAAACAAGGCGACCAGAAACTCCAGTCTCTGTTGATGTTGGATTTCCAGTGGCATCAAGAATATCTTCGGAACTATCAAGCAAGACATGCAAAAGATCCGCCCCTCCGCTATCAAATACATTAACAACGGTTCCCAGGGACTGACCAGTTTCCTGACGGGTTGTATGCAATCAGTATCCCAAGCAATCAAAGTCAGCATATTTTTGTGAAGGGGTAAAACAAGTAACCATGAATGAAAGAAAATTTTTATAATTAGCCCAAAAGCACAATTTCTACACATCTTCTAAATAGCAGTTTTTGTGAAGGGGTAGTTTATACAACGAGCTGCATCAACTACATTCTCATTATAAAATCCAGAATAGCAATAAATCTGCACAAGCAGACCTAAACATTGACTAACGAATACTTCAACAAATCAGATTACTTTCCTGAAGAAGTGCGTGGGGGGCTTCCTACTTGATAAAAAAAAATTATAATTTGAAGTAAAAAAGGAAAATTAATGTGCTTGATACTTGAGACAACTTGTACATGCAAAAACATTTGCATACCTTCAGAATAACACTCATGCCAATAAGGTCACGGGAATAAAATTCACCTTCTTCCAACTCTGGTCGGTCTTCTTCCCTCACTAGGAGAGTTGATCCAATGAGTAGTTTTGCCTGAATAGATTATGAAATCAGGACGACCGACAAATTTTAATTTGAAATAGTTGATTATGACTAATCAACATCAGTGAAAATAGTAAATCTTCTGGGCTGACTAGGATGGTTGCTTTGTTCTTTTTTTGTTCAATTAGTACTTGTGCGCCAAAGTAGTAGTAGTAATACTAATAATAATAAACCCATACTTCTATACATTGATCATAAACGGCTACATGAAGTAATAGTGAGAAGAAAAACCAAGATTTAGGATAAAAAACATGATTTATCGTACACAAAAAGGGAAATAGGTAGACCTGTTCAGCAGTATCGATTCCTTTAAACTTCAGTATCCAACTCTTTCGACCAGGGTGTTCCCTCCCCTCTTCCAAGTCAACTTCTCGGATTTCTTCCCTTCCCGAAACTTGCTGCTTCAACCATCTTGTGCCAGGCTAAAGAAAAGGGGTAAGTAGAAATCGCTATTGATTTAAAATGACTAGAATGTTCTTATATATATATATACACACACACCAAAGGGTAGTTGGTCGGCTGTATAAAGACTTGATACAATGTAATCTCCTTAATAGATTGTATTATCAAAACTACAGCACTGTGTTGGAGGGTTTTTCTATTTCTCACAAGAATTGGGGGCAGAGGGCATATACTGTAAGATTTTGAATTCCGTTTGAATATGGCAGGAGTAGCTCATTCCAACAACGCTGTATAAATATAGAGGTTCTTTCGAGAATTATTGCCATTGATTTACCGTGGAGAATCGCAGTTCAGGAAAATCAGTAACAGGTTTCACTCGAACTTCCCCCTCAGTCCCATGAACATTGGATATGTAACCAATTTCAACAAATCCTGTCGGAGCTTCCACACTTTCTAGAATCTGAGAAGTAGCTGAAATGCCAAAAACAAATTATCATTTCACATTTACATTACCCACGTAAACTCATAACAACGACATATTACCTCCAAATCATCAAACAATACCAACAAAGTTAAACAAGACGCATTCAATCAGCCATGAGTTAAACGAGATAAATTAGAGTAATAACCAAACAAGAAGAAATCACCAACTCTACGGCGGGAAGGCTGCAAACGTGGAAGAGTGTGAAGATGGCGGTACAAGGGCAGCTGAAGTATCGAGAAAGCCGAACCCTTACAAGTAAGAGCGATACGTCTTCGGAAAGGTTCGGTGCATCGATTAAGAACGGAAATATATGGAAAAGAATGAGAAAAGGAGCTAGAAGAACACAGTGGGGAAGTTCTCTGCATCATCTTCAGGTTGCGCGGTCGAAAATGTCAGCGCCGGAGTGATGAACGAGAACAGAGGCTCATCGGCGTTTAGATATTTCAGCGGAAGTTAAAACTTAAAACCCTCTGACGTCATCTTATCTTAATATTAATATTAACTAAAATAAAAATAGTCAAACAGTGTATTTAAGTTAAAAAAAAAAAAAAAAAA